CCCCCGCAGTCCCCCCTCGCTGCTCCCTTGGGCCTCCAGCCAGCCCCGTGCACCCCCCCCCATCCCCCAGCACCCCCATTCTCGCCTGCAGCCCCCCCACATCCCTCCTTCCCCCCCCCGCATCCTCTCTCTCCTTCCATCCTCCCTGCACCCCCCATCCCTCCCTGCATCCCCTCCTCTCCTCCATCCCTCCCTGCCCCCCTCTTTCCATCCCCCCACCCTCTCCTGCTTCCTCCCCTCCATCTCTCCATCCCCCCCCCCCGCACCCCTCCATCCCTCCCTCCATCCTCCTTTGCTCCATCTCTCTGTCCCTCCCTGCATCCCTCTTTCCATCCTCCTCCATCTCTCCATGCCTCCCCCCATCCTCTCCTCCATCCCCCCTCCTCTCCTGCACCCTCTGCCCCATCTCTCCATCCCCCCTCCATCCCTCCACCTCTCTTTCCACCCCCCTCTCCTCCATCCCTCCCTGCGTCCCTCTTTTTATCCTCTTCCACTCCGTCCCCCCCTTCACCCCCTGCACTCTCCTCCATCCCTCTCTGCTCCCCTCTTTCCATCCCCTCCTCCATCCTCCACTCCATCCCTCCCTGCATCCTCCCATCGTCCTCGCACCCCTCCAGCCCTTTCCATTCTCTCCTCCATCCCTCCCTGCTGCTTCTTTCCATCCCCCCATCCTCCCATCCATCTCCCCATCCTCTCCTCCACTCCATCTCTCCCCCCCTGCACCCCTCCATCCCCCCCCAAACCCCTCCATCCCCCCAAACCCCTCCATCCCTCTTTCCATCCTCCTCCGCTCCATCTCTCCATCTCTCCCTGCCTCCCCCCTCCTCTCCTCCGTCCCCCCCTGCTCCCCTCTTTCCATCCCCCCATCCTCCCATCCATCTCCCCCTGTCCCTCCTTCCTCCTCCGCTCCATCTCTCCCCCCCCGCACCCCCCCATCCCTCTTTCCACCCTCCTCCAGCCCCCCCGAACCCCTCCATCTCCCCCCCCCCCAGCACACGAGGGGTGCCCACGCTCTGCTCTTTATTGCCACTGGTGACAACGTGCGGGGACCGCGCGGGGTCCCCCCCCGACAGCAGCGGGGAGGGGACGGGATCGGGGGTCCCCCCCCCCGTCCATGGGACACCTCCGGGCTGGGTTGGCGGCGCCGTAGCGGCGCTGGGCGTAGCGGGACACCCAGGCGGGGAGGTCGAGGGGCTCGTGGCGCCAGCCCAGCTCGTTCATCAGCTCGTACACCACGTCGTTCTGCTCGATGCCCTCGGGCGCCAGCCCGGTGCCCACCATGGTGGAGTTGGGGAAGCGGCGAGCCTCGAAGGGGCCGCGGTTGAGGGACTCCACGGTGCCGAAGAGGCCGTGGTTGCCGCCGAAGTTGTGCAGCATGCACCAGATGAAGGGCTGCCCGTAGAAGGACTCCGTCCACGGGTAGACGGGCTTGGACTCGGCGAAGAGGTCGAGGACGATCATCCTGCCCAGGGGCACGCCGTGCAGCAGCGCCCGCACCTGCGCCGGCTGCCAGAAGTCCGGCTGGTGCTGGAACAGCCAGCCCTGCATCAGCCACAGCGCCTCGGGGTCGGCTGGGGACGGAGACACGGGGTGAGGCACGGGGAGCACCCCCGGACCCTACCACCCCCCTCTTCCACGGTGCCACCAGGCGGTCCCGGCCCCGACCCACCTCCCGTCATCGACCTGAAGACGGCGTTGCTGACCCTCGAGAGGTAAGCGGGGTCGGAGGACAGGGGGCTCATCTCGTTGAAGGTGTCGGCGCTGTAGATGTGGTCGGTGCCGAACTCCTTGATCAGCTCCTTCAGGAAGAGGGTGCCGATCACCTGGAACATGGGGTCCTCGGGGTCCAGCAGGTAGGAGCAGGAGTAGGTGCAATCAAAGTGGCTCCAGCCCCCGAGGCGAGTGGCGTTCACACGCGGGAAGACCCTGAGCAGGAGGGCAGGGACGGGGATCAGGAGCAGGATGGGACCGCACGCTGCAGGGGAGCCCCCAGGGGCACCCGGTGCTGCCCGAAGGTGGGACCCGGAGCTGGGACCCCGCTGAGCAGGGAGCTCAAGGACCTATGGGGTCTGCAGGCACAGCCGCACGTACCGGAGGACCCCCGGCGGCACGTGGCCCGCGAAGGCCGGCAGCACCGTGAGCATCCCCAGCGAGCGCATCCGCTCCACGACCCTGTACTGGGAGAGAGGAAGAGGAGGGAGGGGAGGAAGAGGAGCCCCAGGCCCTACGAGGGGTCTCTGGGCACCTGGGGAAAGGAGCCCACCCCCAGCACCACCCCAGCAGGGTGAGACCCCCCCCCCGGTACCTGCAGATAGAGCTGCTTGAGGTGCCAGGAGCGCGGCAGCGGCCCTGCCCAGCCGTGGAGGTTCCCCAGGCGGTTCCACGCCAGGAACGCCTGGCCCCGTGAAGTAGGCGTCGATCTCCGACTGGTTCAGACCCAGGGACAGGTAGACCTGCGGGCAGCCCGAACGTCAGCTCCCCCCTTTGCCCGACGCCCACCACGGCCCCCCCCAGCCCCGGGGATACCCCACCCGCTGCCAGACGAGCTCCTGCCCCAGGAAGGCCAGCGCCAGGTTGATGCCGCTCAGCGCCATCCAGTCGATCTCCCGCTCCCAGCGCTCCCAGTCCCACCAGGCGTAGGAGTAGCTCTGGGTGCAGACGTTCTGGTAGTAGCGGTACCTGGGGCACAACGACAGAAGGACCGGGGGTGGGTGGGTGGGTGGGGGGGGTGGGCACCCCGGCCCCCCGCTGCCTCCCCCGTTACGTAAGGCCGAGCGCCTTTTGTCCCGGGCTAACGAGCTGTGAGCGGTGCCCGGCTCCGTGCCCAAGCTGGCACGGATCGTGGCACGGATGGCACCAGCGGAGCCCCCCCCGTATGGACGTCAGCAGCACCGGGGGGGGAACCGGGACACGAACAGAGCCCCCCGGGTGCCCCCAGACCCAGGGCGTTAACGGAGCCCCAAGGCCCCCGCACGCCGGCAGCACCCGGTGCGTTAACGGAGCTCCGTGCATCGGTAGCGCCTGGGGAGCCCGGTGTGGTAACGGGGCCCCCGGTGTCCCCCTTGCACCCCGTGCATTAACGGAGCCCCCGGTACCCCACCCCCTCTGTACCGGGGAGCCCGGTGCATTAATGGAGCCCCCAGCACCCGGTGCATTAAGGGAGCCCCCGGTACCCCCATGTACCAGCAGCACCGGGGAGCCCGGTGTGTTAACGGAGCCCCCGGTGTCCCCCGTGCAACTTCAGCACCCAGGGCAGTACCGGGCCCCCGTGCACCGGTAGCACCGGGGAGCCTGCTGCAGTAACGGAGCCCCCGGGACCCCCCAGCACCCGGTCCATTACCGGGGTCCCCCCCCGGTGCCCTCCGCACCGCCACCCCCAGGACCCCAGCGCACCGCCAGCCCCGTGCCCGCCCCGTCCTGTCCCGGTGCACGGTCCCGGTACCGGTTGGGGGTGGCTGCGCGGATCTCGGCCGGTACCCGCGGCAGAGGCTCGGGCAGGCGGAGCTGGGCCCCGGCCCACGAGAGGTGGCATCCGCAGAAGTCCCGCAGGTAGCGGTAGAGCCCGGCGGCGGCCGCCACGCCGCTAGAACCGGTCACGGCCACGGCCACGGCGGCACCGGGAGGGGACAGCAGGCGGTAGGCATCGGGGCCGCCCGCCGCCAGCCGCCCGTCCACCGACAGCGCCACGGCGGAGGCCGCCCGGGGGCCCAGGAGGCGCCGAGCCAGGGCCCGCACCGCCGCCTCCTGCCGCCGCTCCGGGACCGGGGCCCGCACCGGGAGCGGCACCGCCAGCAGCGCCGCCAGCGCCGCCACCTGCAGCGGTCCCGCCATGGCGCGCTGCTTCGCCCTGAGTGACGTGCCGCTCCGCCAATCCGCGCCGCGGCCCCGCCCCTCAGCCGGCGGTGCGGCCAATGGGAGGAAGGGGGTGGGGTGTGGCCGAGGGGGTGGGCGTGGTTATGGGGTGGTGGGCGTGGTCAGTGAAGTGGGCGTAGTCACGGGATTGGGCGTGGTGGTAGCAGGGGGCGTGGTTACTTGAAGTGGGCGTGGTCACAGTGGTGGGAGGTGTCGGTAGTGGGCGTGGCCACGAGAGGGCGTGGCCACAGCTGTGGGCGTGGTCACGGCGGTGAGGGCGGGCGTTGGGTTTAGGGTTAGGGTCAGGTTTCAGGTTAGGGTTATTGTTAGGGTTAGGCTTAGGTTAGGGCTTGGCGTTAGGGGTAGGGTGTGCATGGCTATGATTATGGCTAGGATCAGGGTTAGGCTTAGGGTTTGGTTTAGGGTTAGGGTTAGGATTACCTCCACCATTATACTTAGGGTTATGTTTAGGGTTAGGTTTCAGGTTCGGGTTTATGGTTAGGGTTAACGTTAGTGTTAGATTAGGGTTTGGTGTTAGTCCTAGGGCTAGGACTGGGGTTAGAGTAATTGTTAGGGTTAATGTTAGGGTTAGGGTGAGGTTCAGCGTTAGGTTTAGGGCTGGGGTTAGGTTTCAGGTTAGAGTTAGGTTTAGGGTTAGGTTTAGGCTAACGTTTAGTTTTAGTGTTACGGTTATTGGTGTTTGAAAACACAGAATGCGCAGAGTCCCATTATGTGTGGGACTGTGTAAAATCTCCCCCCGGGTGTTCAGGTGAACCCAAAGGCTTCCGCTGGGAGCACTTTTTGATGGGAGAAGGTGGCGCCCTACGTGCTCTCTAGGGTCCTATTTAGGGTTGGGCTCAGCGTTCCTCCTAGGGAGGAACCCACCAGAATATATGCGGCCCCACCAGAAGATATGACCCCAAAACTGGCCACACTGGGGAGACACAGCCCCAAAAAGATCCCCACCAGGTGGATACCACCCTCAAAACAGCCCCACAAAAATGAAAAATCCCCCAAAAATGGCCCCTGCAGAGGGACGGAGCCCCTGAAAACAGCCCCCAGTCCCAAAAGCACCCAGCAGCCTAGAACTAGATTGTAAGCTGTTGAGTGCCCGTGTAATACACAGACTCGGTGGTTTGGTATCACCCAGCAATCCTCGAGGTTTGTGACAGGCTCTTTACTTCAGATCCCAAAGTAGGCTGACATTTTCTCAGGTGACAGCTTGTCCTTGCAAGGCCAAACCAAAGATTTAGGCTAGTAGAAAATTAATAAAGCCCCCACCTTACCCATGCCTCCTTAATTCAAGACAGTCTAAGCATCTGTACGGCCAACACTTTCAGGCAAGCAGATTTAGACAAAAAGAAGCACATACATGGGCGTTTCCCTGAAGAGGTAAGTTGTTTGCTGCACAAATGTGATCTGTATCAGTTTTTATGGCTTAGAAAAAGCAATGGGAAAGCTCAGTGACTCGGAAAGGGCTCTCACACGTCTCTCCCCTATGGGTTGCTGGTTTGTTTAAGTGCCCACAGCAGGTAAAAGCTCTTCAGTCCCTTGCGGTTGGAGCTGGTGTCCTCTGTTCGATTCCTACTGGCAGGTTCTAAGCTATACAAAGCTGGGAAAGAGGCCCAGAACAAAAGTGGCTGAGCAGGCCAGCTCCGCTTCTTCCCTCCTCCAGAAAACCTCTCCCTAGTTGTTCCCTAAGAGGCAGTGTCGGGGGAAATGTAGTATTGCTACTGTCCATGCCGGATGTGTTTGGGGATAACACAGGGGGTTTTTAGTAAATTGTTAGTCCGGGATTTTAAGAAAGCAACACAAGAACAGCTGCCACACGTGGATGTTCTTTGCAGGACTCTAGTCATCACAGTAGATGTCTTATTGCCATTATGTCTCTTACAAAATAGCATCACTAGAAAGCTTGAGCTGGAGATGAGTGGTCATTACAAGTACAAACGTTTGTGGCCGTACACCACCACGTCCACAAGGGGAGCAAGGTGTTCGTTTCTACCCAGAGCTGGATATTGCTGGGAGAGAAGAATCGGGATTTCTGTGCACATTTGAGGAGCAGGAAAGGGTTGTCTTAAAGACAGAACAGCATTAAGTCCTAGACACTAAGTCTGAGGGGAAACCAGTCCCATTCACCTTGTTGTGTATCAGCCCCGGAAGGTCGGCTTCCAGATTGTTCTCAGCGACGCTAATTCAGTCTGATTTGTGGTCTCTCGGCTGCAGACACCAGATTTATTGTCTTAGGTGAGGAAATTTGGAGCAAGCAGCATCCTGGCAGACAATGCAGGGCAACGCATGGGTGATTGTGGAGCCATCACATCAACACCTTTTCCCTACGAATTACCAGGGTGGTTTATTTTAAAATCCAAGCGAGGCTACAGAGTCACGGCTCGCAGTGGTGCTCCCAGCCAGGACTGGTTGTCATATCACTCGTACTCACACGGGAGACAATCTAGATAAGTGTGCAATGCTTCTTCCTTCCAGGATTCCCCTCCACGACACACATCAGAAAACCAGAAAGGAGGTGATGTGATTGCTTACTGGCCCCGGGAGCCAGCAGGATCCAGCTGGTTCAGCTCAGACTGATCCAGCAGTTCAAAGTCATCCCCTTCCGCGTCAGTGTCCAAGTCCGAGCTGGCCGTTCTGAGGTAAGTCTTTGCACCTCTCTGGGGATTGTCGCTGTGCGAAGAGCCCGGCTGAGCGGCTCCCGACAGCGCAAGCTGTATCATCCCCCTGGTGACAAACCCAGCTATGTTGTTAGTGAGATTCTGTACAGATGGCAGTGCGCCGGCTTCTTCCTGGTAATAAGGGAAGTGCAACTCTTCCGTTCCTTGCGAGCGGTAAGCCAGACTTGGGATCCCAATGCTGGTGTCATCTTCATCATCTAGGCCAGTTGCTTCTGGGTTGATGGAAGGGAAGTCAGGGAGATCCCTGGCAAAAGATTCTTCTGGGTCACTGTGACCATCCAGGTCTAGAAGAGGAGAGAGTATTTTAAATACACAGCACATGCCAAACACCCTGAAGGCAAGAACAGCACAGCACTCAAAATCTGGGCCATTACCTCACCAAGACAGACGGTCTCCTATCACCTCCGCATCACGCTGTCTTTAATCTCCCCCTCACATAGCTATTCTGGGTGCCTGCTTACCTCCCAGCTCACTCTCAAGGAATGCAGGTGCTGAACAAGAGGAAACTACCCTCTCGCTCAGTCAGCAGATAAGCAGAGGGTACAGAAGGGTCTTGGACAGGACGAGCTGGTTGTGCCTACACTATAATGACGTGACCAGAGGGACAGGCTGGTCACGGTGACAGAGGCTGTGCTGCAACACACATCCCTGCGGTCAAAGACTGGCAGAGCCGGATCTGCCTTTGAAGAGCAGCTGAAATTGCTCTACCAAAGCACCACAGGAATTAAGAAGGAAGCTCTGCGCTGAAAAAACAGGTAGTTTCATCTCATCTTGGCCAGCAACAGACATCAAACAGCTAGACCTCAGGGACAGAAGGGAATGCATGGCCTCCCTCCAACCTGTCGCACCGGTGCCTGCTCAGCATTCCACACCTCTGAGGAGCTGCCAGTTTCCTCTCACCTTCTGATCCCTCTGTCAGTGGAGTCTGGCCCCTTGAGAGGTTAAACATCCCGTTCTCAGTGTAGGAAACCTCAGCATCTGAATGCTCCGAGTCAGAGATGGTTAGTTCCTTGGCAACCACGGAGTCATCCAGCTTTGAAACAGGAGATACATTAGAAAATATTAAATACTGGAAAGCTAATTCCTCTGCCATCATCCAGTGGCTGCCAGTTAAACCCAGTCCTCATGAGAGGCTGGTATCTGAGACTCGTTTCACGTGTTACTGCCTACCCTAGGAGCTGGTGCAAGCAGTTCTGGACACCCACAGTACCCAGTACGTTCAGATACAGTTCCCTACCTTGGGACAGAAAGCAGCAAGCTCCTCTTCACTGTCACTCCCATCATCCGTGCCCTCCTGATTAAGGGATCGGTGACGCACTGTCAGAAACCAGAGTCAAAGCTTATTATTGCTGTTAAGACAGAGATCTTACACCAAGAAAAAAAAATAATTGGCAGGCTTGGACGTAACACAGCATATTTGGTTCCTCAACAGAGCAATGGGATCATTTCTGACTTGGGCTGCTGAGATCTTTTGCTGAGATTAACATGCTCAGCAGCAACCTTGCACTGAAAATAGGAAGGACTCAGTACAACTGCAACCCAGAACACACGGTTCTGACAGCTGAGAACTGACGCAGCTCAGCACCATGAAGAGCTCACACCACGCGCTCACTGGCAGACTCCTGTGGAGGCAGAGCTGCCTCGCTTTGTCCCCAAAAGTACTTGCAAGTATTCACCAAGGGAACTGGAGTGACTGCCACGTGAGATGTGCAGGGCTATCCCACTCCACGACCAGAGGCTTGGTTTACAGATTGGTTCAGGTACGAAGTATCAGTGTCTGAAGGGCCTGAAACACCCTCTAGAAACTTACGCTGCTTCTCCCGCTGCTTCGATATCATGTAGCCTCGGACACTGAAATCCAGCCGCTGCAGAGCTGGCTCCAGCTTCAGGTACATGCGGTGCCCCAGCCTGTGGTAGACAGCCAGGGGCCACAGCAGGACGAAGAGCACTGAGGGAAGAGGGAAGGCTGATGAGAAGTTTGCACGGTGTGCTACCTGGCAAACACCTTGCCCGTGTTTGTGATGCAGTGTCACACACATCCAGAATGCAAGATCTGGGCACTGAAGGTAATGCTGCTTTAGAGTTCTACCAACGTAACAAAACGGAGAGGCTGACCTTTCAGTGCTCAGATCCATCGTTACTAACCACTCAGACATGTTGTGTCCGGACCAGAGACCTTAGAGCCCTGGACAGGACCCACCACATTCTAGGCAGAACACATTACTTTAAATTTTAAAGCCATTAACATGACCCTTCCTTTGGAGCAGGAATGGTTGCTGCTCTCTTTGGAGCAGAGCCTGACTCCTCAGACAATCAAATCCTACTC